GCTTGCGTTAATCTGTTTGATAAAATGCTCTGGGATCCACCATGGTTGATCAGCATTCTGTGGAAAAACACAAGCAAAAACCCCATCCCCAAAGAACTGCGCGGCAGACCGCAATCCAATCACTTGGTGTTTCGCCAGGATCCAGTAATGGAGTCCAGGATAGCACAAGTGAAAGGAGCTGCAGTGCCATACTGATTTACAGCAGTTTTTAATTCTTTCACCAATTTGAATTCAAGAGGGCGATGTTCTCTAATCGACCCTTGGAGTCCCTCTACCTGAATGACGGGGAATAGTCTAAAGATTTCCTCCCCTTGTGCTGCAGCGCGTTTGAGAGCCTCTTGTAAAGGAGATGCTATGCCTTGAGACCCTTCAGATATTATGGGGTCTTTACCATTGGGCTCATTGGTAGGCCTGGCCTCTGAGGCACGAAGAGACGCAAGTCTGCTCGAGAGGCATGAAATCTGCTGCCTCAGCTGAAGTTCCTCACTGAGCTCCTGATTAATAGTGCACAGCTGAGCCAGGTTTGCCTCCCTCTGAGTGGGAGGGGGTGCAGAAGGCGGTGGACGCTCAAGTTTTTGTTGAAAAGCCTCAAAACTGGGATATAGTGCTACAGGAGGTCCTCCAGAATCCGGAGGCTCAGGGGGCTCAAGTGAAAGGGGACATTTTCCAGATTCAGGGGGCTCTGAAGTCTGAGAGCGCTCCTCTCTAATTTGTTCTAACCCTACATGCACCTTCTCTAAGGCTTCCAAGATTTCCTTTTTGGTTGGGGTCGTGAGAGCTGCGTTTAACAAAGCCCAATAAAAAGGAGCACCTTCTGGGAAACGATTAGGCTCGGCCAGAAGGGCTTCATCCAACTGGTTTCCGACTGTCTCCCATACTTCAGTATTTATTTCTGCCTTATTACATAGCCATGGACAAACTGTGTCCAGAATCTTAACAAAGGCCTCTAATCTTGCCCTCTCAACTGTTACTCCTTGTGCCTTCAGTAGGCTCTGAATTGAATCCGCTAGATAACTTTTGGATTCTGATTGTCCCATTTTTTTTTTTTTCTTTTTCTTTTTTTTTTTTCTTCCCTAATGGATCTGACACTCTCTACCTTCTCTCACTTTTTTCTCTTTACCTTTTTATTTTTTTATTTTTTATTTTATTTTATTTTTACTTTCTTTTTACCTTCCTCCGGAGCACCGTCGCTACCTTCGACCTGGGTCCGGAGTTCATGAAGTGAACGGTAGACTTACTGCGTGGATCAGGCGCAGCGGTCAGTCCTCCGGAGCACCGTCGCTACCTTCGACCTGGGTCCGGGATTGCATATCCTCATTCTTTCAGGTCCCTGTTCGGGCGCCACTTGTCGCGAGCCGCGACGTCAGGATCCTGCCAGCAGGTCCTAAACCTGAAAGGACGAGGACAGAGAGACAGGAGGCACTTTTCTTCTCATGTTCCTTGCTATCTTTATTACAGAACCTCTTCCTTTTATACGTTCCAGCTGCATGGGAGCGAGGGCTACACGGGAGCGAGAGTACCGCCCACACATTCCAGAGGGAAACAACAACCATTATGGGTTACATCTGCTACCAGCTGAACTCGCCCATGGCTATGGGCGAGAGCACGTCCGTGCCAGCGAGGTGACTCAAAGTTCAATCATGGCTAGGCCTGTGTCAAGGCTCACCATAATGGCTCGCCATAATTCCCCCATCTCTCTTTGATAGCATGAAGAATGCTATCAACTCATCACACATCAGCCAAGGAACCTCTGTTTTAGGTGGCAGAACTTTTCTATCTCCTTACCCATCATCAGTCGCAGGGCTCATGTCCCAATACGACCTGTCTTAGGTTGGTAGACAGAAGCTTCCGTCCTTACCCGTCACTGAGTATCCCAAGGCGGGGAATCTAAGCACGCCGAGCCTGAGCCAAGTAAATGGCTACACACGTTGTATCATCATCCAAAGAAGCCTGTACAGCCACAGCTAAATGCTCCTATTTAAACTGGGAACGCTTCCAGCATCGGTATGAGCAGTAACCCAAAATACACAAACCAATCATAACAGCAATAACAATAAGCCATATAACAATCCAAAAAGGTGAAAACATCTTTTTCAAATT